GGACGGCTAGTAGTTGCCTAGCCTAGCCAGAACTTGCACAGAATAACATCAGGTGCGGACAGAGTTCATGTGATTGTCATGGTGTCGCTCTCTCCGCGCACATTCACGTTCACATCCACGCATGGCTGATTTTTCATGTGAGTTGTGCTGAAGAACAAGTTTGTGGATATAGTAGTGTTACCGGTTATGTTGTTGGTACTCGTAGTATTCGCAGACCATACACGTACCAGCAGCATTAATGTCATGAAGTACTATCAGTATCAGTTTGTGAGATGCGCGAATCCACGATGCACAAATGTGTGATTCCAAAGGTTGGACAAGCGTGAATCCTCAGGGCTGGCATACTGTCAGCATGTTCAAACTGCTGAGGCAGAATGGATGTAGCAGTGCAGAGACTGCAGAGAGCCAGTGTTGGCAGCTGGAGGTGCCATAAGCTGGTCGCATATGATCACTTTGTCCATCAACGAATCTGCTCGCACTGCATTGAAGGCAGGCCGGTCGACCTTCTGCCGCAGGACCTTGAGTGCTGATGAGAGAAGAGCTGGGGTGGCAAGCGCATTCATGAGTGTGGGCAATGCATGGATAAGCTTTCCGATTTGCACAGGAGTCTTCTGCAGCAAAACATGACCATCTCACGCTCTGCGAGCTCAGCAGAAGTAAGAGGAACAGCAGGCCATTCCTGCATGCATAGGCAGCCTGATCACATGAGTCATTAGTGTCTCCATGATGAGGAAGCCAGCTGACGCCTGCCTCTTGCCAAGCAGAAGAAAAGACTGCAAGGTTCCCGCAAGCCAGTGTATGCAGCGGAGACATAGTCTTGCGCGAAGATTGTGGATAGATGGGATTTCAAATTTGCAGCCTCCCGTGCAGCGAGGCATGCTAGCGCATGCGTTTGCTAGATTTTGCTAGCCGAGGATGAGCTGTCCCTTCTAGTAGTGCGAGATCTGAGATCGGAGGTCATTGCAATGTCTTGCGCTGTGCAGATAACCGGACATGTAGTGATGGCTCTCAGCCTGCGGGCAGGCGTGTCCCCAAATGTATCCCATCCTTCTCGCCGTCAGGAGTGGGCAGGGCTGCTGATCCCGTTGCTTGTCATTGGGCTGCTGGTGGTGGCCGGATATGTTTACTTCATGCTTGACCGGAGCAAGGCGCTCTCGCAAAACATGGGTGTGTACCACATGCTTGCCGCCGAGCCCTCACGGGTTTCCGCCTTCAGGCGTTGCGGGCAGCGCCCAATCGAGCGAACGGCACTGGTCTCACGTCTCGGAGGACCCCAGCGCCATCACTACCTCCTTCCGTCCGCGCTGTGCCAGGGACACACAGTTACTTTTACATAGATTTCCATTACATTGACACATCCCAACACATGTATGGTAGAACATTACACGTAGTAAGGCAGACTAGCCCATGCGCAGGTAGTGATGTTGGAGGCCAGTGTAGGCTTCCTTTTAGCAGCGGAGAGTGCAACAGAGAAAGAAACAGGAGAACAGCAAGATCAGTTTGGCCAAACACTTGTAGAGCAACTTCAGAGCATTGCAAATGGGGGTGGCCACTGAGAGGCCAGTGACGGCACGTTAGCGAAGTGAAGCAGAGGCAGGGCTTGAACAAGCTTGTAGGTGCCAAGCATGCCGCGCCCCTCCCAGAGACCATCAGCACCATCGAGCTCAGTGACGCGTTCCTCGCGAAACTTGTTTTTGTGCCCTGATGCTAGGCAGCAAAGGGCACAGCATTGCTAGTTCCAGGTAGTTGTGCCATTTTTTGCAGAGCATCCGGCTTCTGAGGAGCTCATAGTGCCTGACAAGGTGGAGTGCACGTTAAATGTGCCAAGGCTGGCACTTGTCCAATCGATTCTCGAATTAATTCAAGAATCAGAAGAAGCCACAATATCCCTGCAGGCGCGCCTTCACATCTGTGCTTGTCACAAATCGGTTTCAGCGCAAAATTTGGTTGCTGAGGAATTCGCGGTTGAACGTCACCGACACCAAGGGTGGATCAGTGGAGCCCTTGGGCTGTGATGTCAGGTGAATTTGGGGCGGCTGAAGACAAGCCACCGTTTCGCAGGTTTTCCGAGTAGATTTCTCTCGCGTGCCGGAGCGCGATGGCACGAGGTTCCCGTTCTGACTGGACTCGTCACATCTGTCAACTACAAGTGGCTGTCAGACAGGCTGGTCATGCGAAGTCCTACAGGGGACGTCACATTCGGCACAGCTTCCGACAGCCGAGTCACGGATCGCCAGGCTTGGGCCGCATCACCTTCAAATGCATTAGGATGTGCTTGGACTCTGAGGGTTCCTCGGCGCAAGCTGCCTTGACAATCATCAATCCGAAGGAGTTGGGCTTGACCAGTACGATCATTGCTTGCTGCTAGCTTCCTCCAGTATGCGCCAACATGAAGTTGTTCTAGACAAGGAAGGGAGCCATGTGCCCTTCTGACAGGATCCTTCGCGGCAGTATTTACTTCAGCAGAAGTCTGGAGGAGACTTCCAAGTTTCCAACAGTACAGGACAGTTTCTGCGTCCCGGGCTGAGTTGATGGCCTGCTTCCTGGGCATGTTGATTGTCTTCGAGGCTTTCTGTCAGTCTCCGGTGGCTACAACGCCATTGATGATCAGGACCTATACAGCATCTGGCAACCGTGTCTGCAAGGTAGGACGCTGCCAGCAAGCAGGATCAGCTTCTGGCCTTCGCAGACCCTCCGCAGCGGGAAGCTGATCAGGTTGTCTCTTTGTTGCAATAGCAGGGCATTCAGCTCCATGAGTCCCAACAACTATTGGCTATCTCTCTGCTGGTTGGCATATTTTGCTTGAGAGATCGGTAGTGAAGGCTTCTTCTGACATGGCATGAACTGTTGGCTCCCAACTACAAAATTCTAGTGGATGAAGCTGGCCACAGAGTTCTTGTGTAACCCAAGGCTCGATGTGGGCCACTGGTCGACGCGGGTTTGATGGTTATGCCAAGCCCTCAGCAACAAAAGCAAAGGTCACTGCCAAAAGTCATGACAGGCGTCGCGCGTGTGCCCTTTGTTTGCTGGACCGGCCCCAAAGCAGATCCTGCCCCCTTCCCGGCGCGCTCATCTACGTTCTTAGGGGATCATTCCGACCCATGCCCAGCCTCCAACTCGGTCCCCAACACGACCCTTTTCTGATGGTGGATAGCAGGAACCACTGATCTAAGATGTTCTAGATCGATCCCACTTTGCCTGGACCATCCGCTCCAATTCCTCCGCATTGAATTCCGGGAACAACTTGCGCTGTCGCCTCGACAGCGCGCTGACACTTCAGTGCTGATGGCTCCAGCTGCTTCATTGGAGTGAGGGTTAAGTTTGACTACGCGGGGCAAAGTAGCTGGTGCATGTCTACTTTTGCTAGTTTGACGTGACTAATGTTAGGGCTTGTGCACCTGGGGTTCCCCCTGCAGGGTTCCCCTCTGCAGGATTCCCTTTTTGAGGATGCACTTTGCAGCGAACTCATTCGCGGTCAAATTGTTTATTGCATGCCTGCAGCGCACCTGTTTTTGGCCAGCACAGCGCAGCGTTAGAACTTTGCTAACCTTTGATAGAGATCTCATCTGATCCTTGCTAGGACGCGTGTGCAGTCACTTATTTGCATCGAACTTGCCTTCATTGAAATCATTTGACTTTGAGGTGCTTCCTAGGCATCGGCGTGCTGCTGAATGACCAGAGCCAGTCGACTTCACGTTGCAGATAGAGCGTCCTCAGATTCCGGGTGGTCGCAGGTTGCAGCGAAGAGTTGCTGCATGTGTCTTGTGCCAAATTGGACCGAATGTGGTCAGCAGCTAGCCAGCAACTACGAAAAGTTGCGCAGCAGCTGTCCATACAGCTCGATCGTCATGCGCAGCAAAAGCGCCTTACAGCTCCAGCATGCCAGAGAAGGGGGGCACCTCAATATGACAAGCGTGATTAAAGACCCAGTTTAGACCCAGTCTGCGCAATAGCATCTGTGTTTTTGGCTTGCTGTGCAGTACGGAGTAATTGATGCGTTCAGCATTCCAGCGTCTGAAGTCTGCTCGCAAACTCAACTTGGTAACGCGCCTTACCTATGCGCTCCAAGCTATTGCAGTACTGATGTGATAGGCAGACCAACAAGCTTAATGCCTAAAGTCAACCTGCTTCAATTGATGCAATGCAGCTTCGATTGGGCACGAACTATGCAGCTACATGTTGCGTGGAAGGGCTGTATGACTTGTGCAGCATCAGTGGGTTCTCCTGTTTTGTGCGGCCATGGCTGACGACTGAGTGAAAACCGCGTTGCAAGGACATGGTTCAAAAATTGGCAGCAAGCCAAACCTTCCAAAGCAGCCTAAGACCTCAGAAGCAGGTTTCATCAAGCATAAATACGTTGTATCTCCGCCACCATAGACATACATGCGGAAGTTCATGCAAGTCAAAAGAGCAAGCACTTGCAATACAAATCCGCAATCAGAGTTGGCTGCACTGTGCAATGGACGACAAGAGAGCTGCTTGGCCCGGAATACATCAGGGCAAGAAACATGCCGCTTGTGGCTTGTGGCACTCACGTTGACATGATTTTGTGTTGCGCGGTTGCTACTGTCAGTGCTGCAGTAAGGAATGCGTAAAGGTCGTCATACGATGTCGGCCGTTGAGTGGGCAGGAGAAGATTGACAACAGAGAAAAGATTGTAGATATGGACACTTGGATGAGCGCATGAATGGCAGTTCACCAGAAGCCAGTCATCTAAGCTAGACACCAACGCAATCATTGTTGAAGGCTTGAACTGGGCTTCAGGCCGTCAAAGATGGAGCCGTGAGCGTCCGAAGACCTGGCACGCAAGACAGCAAGAACTTCACTTTCGATGCCGTTTATGACGAGCACACCATACAAAATGATTTTTATGAGCACACCGGCTATGCCATTGTGCCGGGCCTAGCTGTCTTGCTGTTCCCTTTTGCAGGTAGCGGAAGATATGATATGACGACGAAAGAAATTTCTGCAAAGCATGAGAGAGCCAGACTTCGCAAAGCACGGGGTCCACTTTTCTTTGAGCTAAGGTGGAGAGTCGCTCGGCTGGAATATGCGGAGGAGTCCAAAATTCTTTCTTTGCCCTGCCAATTAGAGCAGCGAGGGACAGGTCAAAATGGGGCCGCTCTCAAAAAGCCAGCAACACTCAGACTCTGTGTGTGCTTGTAGAAGCGCGCAGGTGTCATGGATGGTTACAATGGTACCATTTTTGCGTATGGGCAAACTGGCACTGGCAAGACCCACACGATGGTTGGCAAACCCGACCCGGAAGAGATGAACGGTGTCATTCCCAGGACTTTTGCGCACATTTTCCGGAAGCTTGGCCAACAAGATATTTTGTGTTAGATTCAGCCAGATCCGCTGCTCGTCTTAACGGCATGTGCATGTGCCCCTATCACTCTTTCAGTGGATCTCTTTGGGTGTTCAGCAGTTTCGTAGCGAAGGAACGTGGACTGCGGCCAGAACAAGAAATTCCTTGTCCGTGCCTCCTACCTGGAAATCTATAATGAAGAGCATCTCGGCATGCGACCGCAGAAACATTGCTTTTCATACCCGTGCAAAAAGTGCCACAATTTCTCAAAGCCGGCGCAAGGATCCGGGACTTGCTCTCCAAAAATCCAAAGCAGAAGCTTGAGTTGAAAGATCACCCAGAAGGAGGCGTGTTTGTGAAGGACTTGACGAACATGATCGTGAAGGGCGCACCAGACCTCCAGCAGGTCATGGAGGCACTGATAGCATTTGATTTTCTGCATTTAGTCGCAGTGTCTGCGTGCCTGAGCAGCTTTTCATCTTGAGCACTTGGATCTGGCTGTCCAACCACTCTAGAAATCCCCGGAATTTATTTGCAAACGCCAAAGTCGTCCATAGAACGTGCTCCAAGAGGCTCCTGCTTCGACATTGCTCACGTTGCAGAGGGGTGCGCAATGCGTAGTCAATGCGCAAAGTGTTCGGGTCTACTGCCATTTCCTTGTTTGCTTCTTCTTCCAGTTTTTCTTGTTCACAGTGCCGTTTCCCGTCTCAAAACTTCAGCCCATCCCCCCAGCCATCATTGATCTCATGCTTTCGTTGTCGTCGCTGTTCTCGTCACCCTTGGTCCGGTCGCCGCATCGCCTTGATTGTTCTCCAGATGCAAATCCCTCGATTAGTAAAACCACCCCGATTTGAATTGTTTTGGGCCAGACTGGGGGTCAAAGACTACCTTGAAAGCAGAGGTGATTTTGCAGTCAGACAACCCCTCAAAATCAAGATGAAAGAGCTGCAGCCCTAAAAAAGAGGAAGGACTGAGGAAGGCTTAGGTTCAGGTGTAGTCGCAAAACCATAAGCATCTAAAGGCTCAAACTGCTTTTCGATTAGGATAGTCATTTCTTATTCTATGGATTGGGCATTTTTCATCACCTGTTATCGTATGGGGCCGCCTGTGCGAATCAAGAGCTCGGATTACTGTTGATTGTTGCGGTTTCCGCTGCTGCTGCGGCTTCTCCCTCGCTTTTCGCTGTGGTGGAGTTTGTCAAGTGTGAGGGTAGCATGTTCTGCCGTTTGCGCTTTGCTCGCTGCTTCACTAGCTTATTCTTGCGCGAGTGTTGCCAAGGTCGGGCAAAAAAATCGAAGCGTCGCCAGCACGCTAATGAACAACGAGTCCAGCAGGTCGCACTCCATTTTCACAATCACAGTCGAGATCCTGGAGAAAGGAGCGCCTTGCGAAATATGGGCCTGTAGCTTGACCAAAGGCTCCAGCCATTCGTGCATCTTTGCCCTGAAGAAGCGTAGGTTGTGCTTTGAAGGAATGGATGGGCAAGATCATATCCGTGTGGGCAAGATGAACATGGTCGACTTGGCGGGTTCTGAGCGGCAAAGTAAGACTGGAGCCACGGGGGAGACGCTCAAGGAAGCTCCTGCGATCCTGCGTCACATGTCTTGTGTCCCTTGAGGGTAGTGGGCTGTACTCTACTTACCCAGCAACCTCTTCACAGGAAGCAACCAAGATCAACATGTCGCTCAGCGCCCTGGGGAACGTGATCTCTGCCCTGATCGATTCAAAGACGTCATTTGTCCCATACCGAGACTCCAAGCTGACCCGCTTGCTTCAGGACCTTGATGGCCCTGTAGGTGCTTGGCTCCGTAGCTCGTGACCTGTCCAGGACTCCCTTGGCGGCAACACTAAGACGGTCATGTGTGCTTGTATTGGTCCTGTGGATTACAACTACGACGAGACATTGAGCACGCTCCGCTATGCCTCGAGAGCCAAGAGCATCAAGAACAAGCCAAGGATCAATGAAGATCCCAAGGATGCCATGCAGTTCAGCTGCACCTGTTTGATGTGCAAGCTATAAGGTCTTCCATACAGAGCTGAGGATTCGCGAGTTCCAAGATGAGATCACCAGGCTCAAAATGAAGTTGCAAGAGCGGGCAAACGCAGGGCCTGGTAGCCCACCTCGCGCTCCTGGGGCGCCTGGAGAGCCAGAAGTGATCGTGGAGAAGGAAGTCGTAGAGGTAGAGAAGAGCCTCTACCGAGATCTACTGAGTTCGCATTGAATATTGTGCGTGGAGTTTGCGCTGCCTGTTGTTGCATGTGGCTGGTCACGTGCTGGCAATCTGGTTTTTGTCTGCACAAAGTGGCAAGGATCATTGAGAAGGAGGTGGTGGTTCAGAAGGTCGTCCAATCAGGAATCACAGAGGAGGAAGTTCAGCGGATTCAATGGCAGGCCCATCCATTAACATGCGCTGAACATCTACACAATGCACGCAAGCCTTTTTTCTAGGGCGAGCTTTTAAGAACCATGTGGTCCGGCTTTGTTGGTCTGTAAGACTATATTACACGTGCGCCATAGTTCAAGATGTGGGGTTTTGTTGGCTGTTCTGGGCTCACAGTCAGTGCTTGCTACATGGCCTTGCGTTCGTTTCATGAAGCGTGTGGCATCGAAGGTAGAACAGGAGAGGGCGCAGATTGAGATGACGGTGGAACAGGAAAGGCAGGCGATAGAGGCACAAAAGGATCTTGCCTGCAAGACCTGCAGCTTTACAGTTCCAATTTCGGGCTCTGAAGACATCGACTGAGGAGATGGCCGACCAGGAGAAGCAGCAGCTGCTGGAAGCCTTGGAGGAGAAGCAGCGGCTGCGGGAGGAGAAGGCTCAGCAGCAGGAAAAGATGCTGCAGCAGCTGAAGGCCCGGGCAATTTTCACAGCGGAGCAGATTGACACGCGGCTGACACTTGAGTTGGAAACGTTTCAGGCCATGGAGGAGAAGATGCTGGTTGGAAGCCAAGTCATGGAGAAAGCTATGCAGCAACTTAGCCGCAGGGATCTGCAGGGTGTGGACAGCTTGCCAGGGATGCGCTGGCAAACTGGCAACTGCTCAGATCAACTTAAGGCAAGAGGCAGATCTAAAGAAGGCCGCTATGGAGGTGGAAGAAAAGAAGCGGCTGGAGCAACGCATGCCGCTGCCTCAAGGATGAATGATGCTCACTTGTCGCAGCGACCGCGGTAACGCCCTCTCGCAGCCTGTGAGGCAAGAGGAGCTCGAGCAGCAGCAGGAGGACAAGCTCAACCTTGAGGAGAAATATGCCTCGACAGAGGAACAGGCATGGCGGGAAGATGCATGCAAGTGTTTGCGCATGCTGGGTCTGTTCGGGTGACTTAATGGCTAGGCCTAGGATCAAATTTCAAAAAGAGGGTTAGTCACAATTGCTCTATTTTCATCTTTGCATGAAGACGGCAAAACTGCATATAGGTGGCAACTTGGCACAAATACATCTGTAGCATTCTGCAGCACGAAGTGGTCTTGCAACATCATTGGCATGTAGTGGGTCGAATGCTTGGGGGCTTGGAACCCGGAATGCTCCAGGCTTGCATGGGCTGCATGGCCATTGCCGAGCTATGCGCTTGGACATGCTAATCTCATTCGGGCAGCTCTAGGCGTTCGCATGCCAAGTTGCAGGTGCAAAAGATGACTGCCAAGCTGGAGAAGCTGTGGAATCGTCACAAGCAAACACAGCAAGAAGTACAGGATTTACAGCATGAGTTCCAAACTGAGCGCGAGGACATGTTAGAGACCATCCGCGAGCTGCGGAAAGAAGTCAAGTTGGTGTGTCTCACAATCGAAAACTTCATTCCGCTGGAGCACTACCAGCAGATTGTGGAGCGAGCGCACTATGATGAATCATCTGATGAGTGGGTCATCAACAATATCGATCTAGCTGGCAACCGTGTCCGACGGCGTGGGCGCATCTTGGACGATGACGGGGATGGCAGGCATGGCATGCGGCGGACCGGACAAGCAGACGGCAGCCCAGACCCGGTTGCAATGATGAACGAGAGGCCCAATGTTTATTTTGCGTACACGGAGGATGGCGGGGCACAACGGGCCGAGACCCGTCCGGTTGCTAAGAACGGGAAATCCCAGCGCATGAAGTCAGCTGGCCGTCCGGGCACAGCTTCTCGGAAAGGCCGCGCTGTGAAAGGTGCTGTTACCAACTTCCTCCATTCCCCGGACCCTGAGGAGGCAGAAGAGGCTGCCTTCCCAAAGGCACGTGGCCTGGTCAGAGCTGGCTACCAGGGCTAGGCAACTGCCTTGCATGTCCCCCTCCAGATCAGACATGATCTTCGTCCACCAAATTCAACTTCCTAGCCACGCAAGATCAATCTGCCTGTACAACGTGGTACCATGAAATTTCTCACGCAGTCCCGTTCTACTCTACTTAGACTTGCACCAACCCAAACATGTCAGTTGCAAGCGGAGATCAGCCCATAGAACGATGTCTCACGCAACTTGCTGGTTGCGCGCACAATAGCATAGCACAGGCTTGCCGGAATGCATCCAAGACGAGGGGTGCAGAACGTGCCACCTGCCTTACAACATGTCAAATGAAACACAGTTGCACAAATGCGCGAAGTGCGAGCCTGTTTGTACAGAGATCAGTGCCGGTACTTTGCACGCGATCCACAGCAGGGCTGATAGAAAAACACTGGCCGCATGCGGCCACGGTCCCTGCTTGACAGTTCAATGTCTCACCATGAGACGGGCTGATGATTGCTCAATGGTTGGCGTTGATCTTGACGACGAACCTTCAAGATGTCCGGATGTTTCCAGCAACCAGCCAGCTCTCAGCCAGTCAACCGTCTTCTGCATATCTAGACTCACTTGGCATCGTATCGGCATGAGGGCAGGGCCCATGAAAAAGACGACTGGAGGGCGCCAGGCTCGCTTGCAAGCCTCGCGGTGTGTTTTTGCGGCATGGCGCAAAAGTCCATGGTAGCCTGTTGGCTCTAGTTGTGTCTCAGTGGACTCATGAGACATGAAGCCCGTGCAGCAGCCGAGCGCAGGCCCACCAAAGCGGCTGAAGCTGTGCAGAAGGGGCAGGGGATGAGGGTGCATTGCCAGGTGCAGACACCAAGTCAGGCGACAACGGTCCGGTTGCAATCCCAGAGGATTTCACGGTTGACAAGGCGAGAGGAGTCTGGCTGAAAGATATTCACCTGATTTGCAAGCTCTCCATGTTTGGATTTGATTTGAGGATGCTCGCTATACTGGCTCCGCATCTTGGCACCTGCACTGAGCAACTTTTGCCTCCTAGGTCCAGTACCTACAAGACTTTGAATATCAGTGTTTCGGTGCAAGATTGGTTTTTCTGGGTCTTGTCGTTACCCTGCCAGTGATGGACACGAGCTGCTGTCGCAGTCCTTGCAATATTGAGCATTTTGAAGGCGATTGCACCAATGCCATACCAGAGTTTCGGATCAGGTCGTTGACTTCAACAAGTGGAGGGGATTTGGGCACATCGCGATGGACCAAAAGGCCTGACCAACTGTCAAGTTTGGTGTGGACGATTTGCTTTTTCCTTAGAGTTGCCTGTGCCCGAAGCATGCCAGGGGGTCGTGCCAGGGGCGACTTGGATTGAACTCTTGCAATTATGTCAGGGCGTCCCAGGTTTCTATCCTTCCTTCCATGCAGTTGTAATTACGGTGTTGCTTCGCCTCTATATCAAGGACAAAGTGTTTGTTCACTGGAACAACATCCAGACTGACGACCGATTTCCACGCCTGCAGCAGGGAATGCAGCCAATTCCTTGGAAAGAAAAGTTACTAAAGAGCTCACCCTGTAGTGGCCATGTCCATTGGACGCTGCTGAGGGTGGAGTTTGGCCTTGTCATCTCTCAGGGATGGATGCTTGGCAGGGAGGAGTCTTGTGCTGCCAGGGTTTAACTTGACTTGTCGTTGCTCCTGACCCTGTACCCAGGCGAGGCTGGAGCAAGGTTCGCTCACTGAAAGCCAAGACTGTGACACTTCCAGGCGGAGGCAATTCTACGGAGTAGCAGCTTGTAGCAGATCCCATCCTATGCATACATGATCGGAGAAGGGCAGGTAGACCGTGGCTGGCACTAAGCTTGTTCTGCAAGAGCATGTTTGTGCACAGGAATGGTGAACATTCAGGCCTGCCGACCAGTGGGGATTGGTGTGCTCAGTGCAGTTGCATAATGTTGATAATTCGTACAGCTGAGCTCACGTTTGTCTTGAATCCGCCCAGTCTTGAACAAATCCCCCAGTGCAACCGCGATGCTGTACGCTTACATCGAAGGGTGCTGAAAGCAGAAGCTGCGAGATTCTGGGAGCAGCTGGGGCCACCACGAAAGGCCGAAGCATGCTGAAAGCTGCCAGCGGCCTTGGAGCAGAGTGCAGATCCCCTCTAACTCAGACAAGGGCTGTGAAGAAATGAGACAAAATGTGACAAGTCAGAGCAAAGATGGAGAACATCAATGAGGCATAAGCAAAAAAACTGCAATGAGGAAGGGGGAGGTGAGATTAGCCGCCGAAACCTGAAGCATGCGTTCTCACAAGCTAGATGTGCCGAATGTGTTCGCGCACCCTGAAAAAGGGGAGGCGTGATGCGTATCAAAAAACAGCTCTTTCCGGCAACAGAAAAATTCCGGTTTGCAAAACACGTTTCCGGATGAAAAGCACTTTCCACTTGAAATATAGACAGAAAAGGCAAGAGCGTGGGAAGGAAAGAAGGAATGAAGGAAGATCAACAAATCCGGATCAAACAAAACTCTCCGCTTGAAGTATAGACACAGAAAACAAGAGGGTGGGAAGGAAGGAGGGAAGGAAGCAAGGAAGGACGGACTAGCATTTACCAAGCAGGATACCCCAAGGAATCCTAAGGATACATAGAGGGCTATAACGGGCATCATGGGGGGTCCTTAGATTGTTGCCAGAAACGAAAAAAGTTGTCTTCGAGGCCAGCTTTGTGTCAATCAAGAGCCATGGCGATCCTGGACACGGGCACCACCTGCTTCGCAAGAAATGACATTTATCGTGTCATCGCCATGTTTGCAGTAGGGGAAGCCTGTTGGGATCATTTTGCTCCCCAAACAGGAAACATTTGGGGTCCTTTCCTCCTCAAAACAAAAGAAGAACCCAGAGGCTGGATGGGCTGCACGCGGCGCAGACCTGTGGGCCAGCGGCGGGCCCGCAGAAGAAAAGAAGAATGCGGCAAGCGGCACGGCCTGTGGGCCCGCATTGTGCCAGAAGAAGAATGGAAGAACGCGACAGCTGGATGGGTCTGTTTCGAATTGCAACTGGATAGGTGGAAGGCACCGCGGACCTGTGAGCCCGCGGTGGGCCGGCGCAGTGGGCCCGTGGAAGAAAAGAAGACTGCGGCGGCTGGATAGGTGGCATACGGTGCGGACCTGTGGGCCCGCAGTTATGAGTTCTGTTTTGGTGAAAGGTGGTGCCAATTCCTGCAAAGATTCTGGTCTGAAGGCTGCTCATGACCTAAAGCCGCGTACGCTGAGTTCAAATAGCAAACGTTTGGGGTCCTCTCAGAGTCCTCTCCTTCGAAGAAATGTAGAATGGGCGGAGCTGAGCAAACTTGCCAGCTCAAGGCAGGGCTCAAGATGCTTCCGTCCTTATCCGTCAACCTTACACCCCAATCCCAACAACTTGCCAGGTGAAAAGACGGGATCAAAATCCTTCCAGTCTGACCCCCGCAACCCTCAACCTCGATCCGTAAGCACTAACCCTAAACCTACGAGACAAAACACCTTGAGCTGCAGCAGTGTCTTGCAATGCTGGTATTCTTTGCCCGAGGCCCTCACATTGATCCAAGGATGCAAGAATCGTTCCATGATGTTTTCAAGCCTGCAGAATCAAAACCCAGAAAAGGGAAAACCAGCCGTCGATGCAATTCAAATGGGTATGTAGATGGTTTCTGTAGTTTTTGAACTGTTGCTAGATTGTTTTCTTCGCATTCTAATCGGATAAGCGTTGAACGCCAACTGTAACTTTCATCTACATGTTTTCCATCCATGCTATTCGAGGTCTTCGCCGGCGCTAATTTGCGCCATCCAGCTGAGCAAGTGAAAAGCTCTCATATTGCTGCAACTCGCAGTGTCTATGTTCTTTGCAAGAAACAGAGCTGGCGTGCTGTGATACAATATCCGCAAGCCCCGAAGAGCTTCAACTGGAAGCTCTAGATGAGCTCCCAATTCTCTGATTAACAGCTTCTGCAAGCTTTAGATGAACCCCCAATGCTGTGATATACAATATGTATCTGCAGCCTTTCCACGAGCCAAAATGCTGCAAATTACAGTGCCAACGTGTAATAATCCACGAGGATCTTGGAATAAAATCATCCACTTGTCGCCATGTTTGCAGTAAAGGAAGGTTGTGCGGATCATGTTGTCTGCAAATGGGGAGGCTCCGCCCCCTGCCCAACCCCCCGGCTTTTTTGAAGCCATCCAGCGTTTTAAGGCCATCCATCGCGCACCCCCAACCCCCGGGCTTTTTTAAGGCCATCCATTCCTTGCAAGAACTGACACGTATCGTGTCATCAGCATGTTTGCAGTGGGGGAAGCCTGTTCGGATCATTTAGTTTGCACCATCCAGCTGCGCAAATGAAAAGCTATCATGCTGCTGCAACTAGCAGTGTCTACGGTTTTTGCAAAGGTCCGAACGCTGTAATTTACAGCATGCATCGGCAAACTCTAGAAGATCAGAGCTGGAGTGTCGTGATGCACAGTATCTGCAAGGCAAGCTCTAGATGAACTCCCAATGCTGTGATTTGCAACATCTGCAACCTCTACACCAGCCAAAATGCTGCAAATCACGAAAGCTACCTCCTCGGAGCTTGCGAGAGTTTCTGTTTACCAATATAGTCTCCTGGGCTATGGACTACGCTGGGACCACTTGGTCCGATATATCGGAGGTTTGAAGGTGATGAAGGTGCACGGGGGGGAGGGGGGGGCGGCCCTCCCCCCCAACCTAAATGTCCGATATATCTGTCGACCCACCTATACCTAGAGGAGAAGAAATCTCCGATTGAGGTAGGGGGGCGGCCCCCCACCTGTAAACCCCCTTTTCTGACGATTTGGTTCTTCTCTGAATGACCTAGGTACTGTATTCGGTAATGACTTTGCAGGCAGGCATAGGGGACAGCACTGGTAAATCCACACGCTGATTTCTCCTGGCAAGCACAGCAGACAGTGTTGCTTCTAGAACGACACTCCGATTTTGGAATACCGGAGAAGAACTCGGAATTGTTTGTCAAGGCTTCATGTTGTCGACAGCTTGCTCGGAGCAAGCAGCTATTACTGTCGGCAAACTTTCGTGTTGTCGACTGCTTGCTCGGAGGAAGCTGCTGTAGAGTTGATGACTTCGAGTTGGGGGGAAAGGGTCAGCGACTCTACAACGGTTTCTTCTAGGCAAGCTGTCGACAATAGGAAAGCCTGCTCGAGGTCTTGCTCTGGTTTGAAAGATCAATGTGTAGGTGCAGCAGGTGTAGTAGCAATACTGTCCGTTGTGCTTGCCAGAAGAAACCAGCGTGAGGGTTTACCCCGTGCTGTCCCCTATGCCTTCCAGAATGCTACTCTGAGACTGCTTGAACATCAGCATGCCAATCTGTGAATGCAAACCTGCAACATCATGACCGAAAGGCATGCACAGATTGCAAAGACATCCATCCGTACCTGGCTCATTCAAAGAAGAACCATAGATGGGTGGATCCGCAGGTGCCGGGGGGGGGGTAGATCACAGCAGACAAGCCGGACAGCTTTTTTTACCAATGCTGATTGAGTCTTGCCCACGGGGTTGTGCCTGCGCAGCGGCCGCGTAAGACACAAGAAAGGGGAATACTCGGGGATTACATAGGGACATTTAGGGATTCTATTGTAACAACGGAGACTCATGGAGAAGAGAATGGAACAGAGTTGAACAGAGAGTGGGATTGTCTGGTGGTTTATGAGGGCTATAGGGACACTCGAGCTAAAATCGATCAGCATGCACGCATGCACAGAAAAAAAACGCTCACTTGCAGTGATCTAGCTTTCGTCCGCGCTGCCCTCAAGAGGTTCAGAAGCTGCAAAACCTGGACGACAGTTGCGGGGAACGCGAGCCCGACCCCCAAAATCCTCGAGACCGTTGACACTCTTCAAACTCCGAAGGTCCAAAAGCAACGACTGTCTCGGGCATCGCGAGCCTGACCCCTTCAATTTCTGTGACTGTTGACATTTTTCTAAATCCAAGAGGATCCGAGGGTCTAAAAGCGACGACAGTTACGAGGATTGCGACCCCGACCCTCGCGATCCCTGCGACTGGTGAGACTTTTTAGAAATCCGAGAGCTTTTGAGGGGCTATAAGCGACGACAGTTGGGAGGATCACGACCTAAACCCCCACGATCCTTGTGATGGTCTTCACTTCGCATGTTTTTTTTGAAGAGGTTGTTTGGTGGCCGGAGCAATTGAAACCGAAGACACGTTTGCATACTACGACATGTTTGATCCAGAAAAAAAGTTATGATCCGGACAAAATTTATGATCTGCAGCAACACGTCTGATCCTGAACAAGTTGTTGATGGCCTTTCTGAAAAAAGACATGCATGTAAACGTGTCTTGCATTTTCCTGCTCCGATCCTTTGTAGTCAACGTGTCTGGAGCACTTGTGGAGCCCAGACTGGGTATCAGACACTTACTGGCTTTGAAGCAAACCGCTGCGCGGATGGCTGACTCATTGTGGCAGACCTTGAGCCTGCCAGAGCCCTGAATCCAAAAGCCAGCTCTCTTGTCCTAATTGTCTTACTGGTCTGTATGCGCAGGCGAGCATGGATGCAGAAAACATGACGAAACTTGCTTGACATTAGCGTAGGCCAAAGCCGCTGCTGATTGGATTCCTGTGATGCTGCTGGTCTGCTCGCGGATCGCTTCGCAGATTTTCTCAGGTTTATCGGCGCTCAGAACTTCCGCTACACAGGCACTGTAAAGTGTCTCGTCCAAAGCTTGGCCAAGGAATCTGCCTTACAATTTCATTGAAAGCCTGCACACATGATGTGAGAATATCCATGCCGTGGCCAGGGTGCGCAGCATGTGTGATCTCCGCCCATTTGTTTTCCCTCTTTGCTTGCAACTGCTTACTGCAAGATCTTGCAAGGTTTTTTGACCCATTTCGTGGCTTTGGATGGGCCAGATTCTTACAGAGCATCATGCAGGCTATGGGCTGTCCGTTCTCGGCATTGATTACTTAAGGTCATCATTGATGATGGCTATGCTTTGGAAGAGTCTGTGCCAAAGGAGATTAAGGCAAGCATCAGCACTAGAAATGTTTGCACCATTTAAGGATGGCTGGTGCATTGCACGTTTCTCCCAACCTGAATTGCTCCGAATGTTTTCGAATTTCTGCTTATATAAGTGTCACGATATGTACAAGTGAAACAGGTGGAAGCATGGGAACTGAACACCGGTGGAAAGCGCTTGAGGATGAGAATCGACAAGCCGCTTGCCAGCACGCATTTTGTGATGAAGGCGACAAGAATATTTTTGTCGTCAGATGCATCTCCGACAAGCAGGCAGGCCGCGTCTTTGCAGCCAAGGCTGGCGATCGAATTTGGCATCGTCAAAAGCAAGACGGGAAATTGAAACTGCCTTTCAAGTCCACCTGACCTCTCCATTGCCTGCGTACAACCTTTCAAGGGAAGTGTTCAAACAGCGCCATCAGGGTCATTAATGCCTTATTGAATTTGGATTTCTCCAGTAAATGTGTTGCAGCCAAGAATCGGGATGTATAACACGGCGAGGGTGGGGCGCATAGGGCACGCCTGGTTTCAGGTCTAACAAATAGGAGGCGGGCTGTGTGGCTACTGGGCAGTGCTGAGTCCTTGCTTATCTTCCCTGTGCTAACAAGCAAGCGACTCGCCCTTTCGCGGATGCAAATCAGCGTTTCACTGCAGACTTGGCATTCGAAGGCTTCGTGCCAGGCTTCAGCAATGAGAATTTCCATCATCACCAAGTGCAGCCTTGCTCACATATTACCATTACCCATGCTACTCGAAGGTTGTGCATCCAGGTACACAATACGTCAGATCCTTCAATTCTTGAAGACTTCTGGCCCGTCATGGCCAGTTGGCAGTATTGCTTTCTGGTCCGATTTTGCGATGGGCTTTCTTTTTGGTATTGGAGCTTCTGCTCAGCTCTGACTTCCTGACTGGCTGCCAAAAGTGCGCAGGAAGGGTGACTCTTACATGGCCTACAATGTTACGCTGCCAGGCACGCATTGTGCAGGGCAACGGCACTCACAAGCAAATATGAAGGCCCTTGAGCATTTCTTCCTTTGCAGGTGGCGCGCCCATCACGCATGAGGCAATGGAACACCGCAAGGAGGAAGGTGGCATTTGAACTCAGCAAAATGGTGGCAGCTGGCAGAAGCTGCCACAGTCAGAACAAGTTTTCCCAGGTCAGAGATACACGGGTACTGTGCAGTGGTGGCAGCGGCTTCCCGGCAAGGACTAATCTGTCCCACCAGCCAGGATTGAGTGAGTGAGATGATTGAAATTTCTACACCACAGCTACACACGCCTCAAGGTGGCAGAGCTGGGGACACATCGTCCCAGACGTTGGCCAAGCCCTGCCGCCCACTGCAGCTCAGCAACAACAAGGATGATGCCACGAGAGACCGTCCGCTTGCAAGCCCGTGAGTTTGTGAGTCCAACCAAGGTGCAAGCGGCGCTGGATGCAGCGGTTGCTCAGGCAGCTGCAAAGGCCGCAAAGCTGGAGTTAAGTTGTTTACAGCTCCTTCGGGGGATTGGGATTTGGCCAGGCCAAGCCTGATGGAAAGCCTCCAGAGAAGTTACTCTACTTCCGGAAGGCCGGATCGGACTTCCTGATGAGCCCGAACACAAGTGAGCGATACATGAGATCAAGCAAACATCAGGTTTTAGGCTTCAGCTATGAAACCTAGTCCTCCTGGAACTGACTAAAGCTGAAACGTACATCACCCATGGCAGCACAATGTTGGCGCAGGCACGTCGGTGCTTGCATGGAAAGAATAGCAAGGACTAAACAAGTGGAGAATAGGTTTTCCTGTGATCTCGCCACCTTGGCGCCCAAGAAGCCCACGACATAAATCGTTTGAATGAAACGGGCGAACCTCATTCGAGGCAGATTTGAGCTAGAAAGGCAACAAGCGCCCAATCTGATTCGCGCAGTGTCACTCTCAAAACCTTGAGGGCCGGATGGCACAAGATCCGTGTGGTCTGAAAATTTGCAACAGCTACACTCTGCGCTCAGCCACGAGAGTCTAGCTTATGATGGAAAACCAACGGTAAACTTACAATAATTTACATGATGAACATTCCCGACCAGATGCGTACTCCAAGCACTCGAACAATTTGGGGGGACTCCCCCCCGCCGGAATAAGAAATGGAGGGCGCCAGATTAAAAGAATGGTTGAGACTCTTGGAACTTAATAAAAAAGGAATAGGAATGCACTCCTGCGTCATTGAGGCTCTTGGACCACTATTGACCTATAAAAAAAGGAATAGGAATGTATTGAATATCCCTGTTATCAGGATAGGTTCCCCAAAAATGTTCTTTAAATCTAGCCCCTTTCCCCATACGAAAAGCCACCTAATTGTAGCTAGTCTTTGGAGCCTAATTCTACCCAAGTTCTTGTCTTTTTATTAAGTATGGTCCCTTTTATTGTTCTAGTGCTCGGATTAAGGCGTCTTAAGGCCCCAAGGCCCGAAGACCTTCAACCCGCCGTGGCATGTTTATGTTCTGCAGACAAGAAAATCTTGGGGGATCCTGAAGTAGCACAGGGGGTGTGGATACCGTATGATACCGTAGACACCTGTAGGTATGAATGAAAACCCAGGGCCTTGAAACCCACCTTCAGGTGTGCTAGTTTGACCGCTGGACGGAGCACCATGACTCACACAGCATGGTCTTTGCCCGAACTCGTCAAGTCAGCCAAGCATTGTGTGTGCTTAGAGCTTTGACTTTGACATCATCACCCTCCTCAAGTGACATCAGGGGAATCATCTGGGATATCTTGGAGCATATCACGCATCAAGATGAGGTAACCTTTGGAATTATTTGTAATAAGCCGCCTTGTCATTTCCGCCATCACAATACTACGTTTTGGTCTTCTGCTTGTGGTACGTCACGTAGGGTTTGCCAATATGCTGCAGGTCAAGGAAATGCGATGCTTTGAGTTTCATAAGAGGCCGATTCTCGTGCGGACCCGCGCCTCCCTCCGCCGCCCGGACCCTGCGCTGGCCGAGCGCCCGCGGCCCCGACCCACCCATCTGGCGTCATGGTCTCACCCCCAACCATCGCGGCCAGCGGCATGCCAAAACGGTGACCCCTAAATTATGGGCGCGTCCCCCGCGTTTGCTGGCTTTGTTCCCTTCACGGACCTTTTCACAGCTACGCTCATCATCATCTTCATGAAATGCAATGAGACGTGTCGGCACAATCACTGATCATTCTTCCAATCAGATAATCAGGCTGCTTCTGATGGTGACATGTTTGTTCAGGGGGCGGACAAGTAGTGCGAATGCACGATGCACAAGCAGTCAAAAATCATGGCAGGCGCAGCAAATTTGAGTCTGCAAGAGGAAGTGGAAGCAACAGCAAAGCTGGAGCATATTCGTTTTGCAGTATCATGATCACATTGAAAACGAGTACACTCCGTGTCCTCGAAAATGAATTTGGAAGACGCGCATGGCACCCCTCTCAGTGTTTCGCGGCGGCGCAATTCTGGAAATACAGCAGTACGCAGCTTGATTCATGCAGAAGCAGTCAAAACTCATGGCAAGCGCAGAAAATTTGGTAAACTTGGACATGAAAGAAGGTGTGAAAAGCATGAATATTGAGCAAGTTTGTCATGCAATCTCAAGAAAATGCAGAGAACGTATACACTCCCCGCATACTGCCATACGTCCAGACTTGAGCTGCCGCAAAACACCGGGAAGGGTGCCATCATCTTCCAGACCCCGAGTTGGAAGACGCGGAGTGTATACGCCCTTTATACATATTCGTGATACTGCTCTCATTTTCAAGTTTACCAAACTGACCGCGCCTGCCCTGGCTTTTCGCTGCGTCCGCATGACACTGGGTATAGTTACCAGAATCGCACACATGATATTATATGGCAGTAATCCGTTAAGCCATGGGCACGGAACGCGCGCTAATTCCTTTTTAACAGAGGGCTTGAGCACAGCATAGTTGCGAGTCCATACGCAGTACAAAAGCCCCCCTCACTACGAGCTTCGTCCGTAGCGAGGAGTGGAAGCGGC